GAGTATCGATAAAAAGACAAGAAAAGCCCATAATGTACACACATTAAAAACTCTCCTCTTTTATTTCACGTGTGTTGCTACAGGTAGTCTTCCAGCAAGGCACTACAAAGCTGAGCGTAGAAAAGGACAAGACCTCAATCGTTAGTGATGTCGGCATATCCTTCACAGACCCTCGGACCCAGACGACATTCTTCAGCACTGACTTTGAAAACCATGAGTTTCATTTGCCCAAAGGAGTCAAAGTCCTCAGCGTTAAAAAAGCTTCCACAGAAAGGGTGTGTACGGTTTCCAGTAACTCACTGATGGGTGCAATAACAAAGTATTTCATTAGTCCTGTCAGTGTTTTATAACCTGTACCAAACATTAGCTAATAATCCATAAAGGTAAATCAAAACAGCATATTTACAGAACACGGAAAAGTCCCCATGAAGACGCTGAACTTCATCAGTGTAAACAGAAGAAAGGCTCAGTTATGAATTCATCTTTTAACCCAGTGAAAGTTGTTTTCACAAATCTACTTCAGATCTAAACATTCATAGACGCCACATCATGTGAATGTTTAAACAAAACTGCACTATTCTAAAGAAATATATTTAAATCTGAAAATCTAGAAAGTCTATGGAGGGATATAAAGTTTACAGTTCACCATGACTCCAGTTTATCAGAGGCTGAGAGAACCTGACAGAAAAAACAGGTGTGCAAAGCTGCTAAACAAAGTTTCAAGAAGATTCGTAACAGAGCTGAATTCCAAGCAGTGGTGCCTTTCAAAAGATTCAGAATAAATAACCACAAACAAATATGTTTGCGACATATTTGTGACGCAGGGTCCAAAAACACAGCTAAAGTTAGAAAAATGTATTTTTTACTTTTTTCCTAAACTTTCTAAACGTATAGAATAACATGCAAAAAAGATTTAATTTATATCTCTTTATTTTCTATGAATTTTTAACTTGAAGATGTCAAAAGATGTATATTTGTTAAATTTAGTAACAATACACTTTTGTGTACACGTTTGTAAATGATTAAACTTCTGATAAAAATGCCACTAGATCTACAAGAAACTGTCTGCTGACCACAATGAACACAATTTTATTGCCACAAGCCAAAAATGGAAAAGTTGCCAGCATCACAGAGGAAGCAAATTTCACTGGCTAACTGCCCAGGTCACACCTCAGGCACATGTGGCTGCGCTGAGCGGGGGGTTCCCTCCTCATCCAGGCTAGCTGGAAAAGTCCCAGCTAACCAGCATAGAGTGTGCACATAGTGTGCTATTTATTTTCAGATTATACTGTCTAATAAACTGCTTAGTGGCCATACAGTAGCCTTAAGAGATATTTGCAGACATGCTACATCACATTTAATAAGTGGAGGAAAAAATAGTCGTTAAAAATGTCTTTCACAGTATCATTTCTATCATTTTTGTTAACAGTCTTGTGTTGCTGCTCATAACATTATATTCTAAACTTCATATTCTCTCTGCGACTTTTAGATCACCAGTAATGCTGCATCTGACCTGAACATTAAAGGAGACTCTGCCATCATTCGTGGTAACGAAGGGGTCAACATCATGGGTCGGACAATCGAGTTCAAAATGGGTGGAAACATTGAGCTCAGGGCTGTGAGTATGGAATTTTTCCTACAATAAAGCCGATCGAGTAAAGGGCCAGAAGATCGATGAGTAATGATGATTTGTCTTCGCAGGAGAACAGCATCGTGCTCAATGGATCGGTCATGTTCAATGCCACGCGTTTTCCTAACTCTGCAGGAGATCTGTATTTCAATGAAGGTCAGGAGAGGTACAAGCTCTGCATGTGTGAAGATGGAACTCTGTTCCGTGTGCGGGTGAAATTTACCAACATGGGCTGCCAGACTTTAGATAACCCATGTAAGAAGGCTCACTAGGACTGGAATCTGCTATTGCATCTCAATCAGTCCACACTGAATTCAGATAAACCACTTTCAAATTTATTTTTGATAATGTGGAGCTCTAATATACAGGACATTCATAATGGCTTGGGCATAATATCTCTGTGGGTCATGTGTCAAATTCTGTGTTTCTTATTATTTTTGCCACTTGGCCAAAGATAAAAACTGTAGTATTTTATTTTTCTGCAGATTTGCCAACTTGAGATAATATCAGTCTGTTACTTCTATATAGTAGGACATAAAACACTACACGTACAAAGGCTAATGTACACTATGGAGCCCTACTCTCAAAAACTAGATTTAACTCTCTCTGGGAAGCTGGATTTAAGAAATAAATGTTTCAAGTTTACATTTTTTGAAAATGTTTAGCGCCATCTGGTGCCAGTACAGAACATGACATCACCAGGGCATTTCATTAGTTTACGTTAGCTAACTAATCACAGAACCAGTAACTCAGGTGATAATAAGGACACTAAAACCAAAAAAAGCAGGGATCAAAGGGGATCACTTTTTCATTGCCCCTGGCTGCAACGATGATTTTTATGTTAAAAAACCAAGGAAATGCTGTTCAATTTCACTTTTTGTCTCTAAAGCAGTAATTGGTTCTTCGTTAATTGGCTAGCTGCATTGAAACAGGAAAATCCACCTGTTATCTGTAATGTTTGGGTTCGTAAAGCACTATTTAAATGAGCACTGTGTGAAGGAGAGCTTGTTTGAGTCAAGTAACAGGTTGTTTTACCAGACCAACAAGCTGGTGTTAGAAACTCAGATTTTTTTCCTCGTCTGGCCAGATGTACCTAGCAGCGCAATCAGTTAAAGGCCACAACATGCAATCAAATTTATGCAATAAAATTTATGTATGTTTTTATGTATGTTGTGTTGTAAACTGTTTGGATGTGCATAGGAAAATAGACTATTTTATTGCATAAATAGTGCTGATTGCATCTTGCAAACATCTGTTTTGCCAGCTGATTGTGCTTCTAGGTACACTCACCTACTGAAGTAACGGTGCGGTATCGGACAGCAGCGCGTCGGTCTGGTGAACCACCTGTCACCTGACTCAAACAGGGTCTCCTCCACACAGTCCTCATTCATAAAGTGCTTTATAAACCTTTGTAAACGAGTGTTGGTCACCTACTGTGCCTAACAGGAGGATTTTACTGTTTCAATGCAGCTAGCCAAACAACAAGGGAACCACTTACTGCTTAAGAGACAGAAAGTGAAACTGAATATAGCCTTGTTTTGTTTTTGTTTTTTTGATAACATTTATTGTTGCAGCCAGGGACAGCACAAAAGTGATCCCCTTAGACTGCTTTTTAGTTTTAGTGTCCTTATTCTCACCTGAGTTACTGGTTACTAGTTAGCTAACATAAGCTAATGTAAGTCTATTAGCTGCAACCAACCAACCCGGTGATGTCGTGTTCTGTACTGGCACAAGATGGCGCTAAACAAGATCAAAAAATGTAAACTTTAAATAGCTCTTCCTTCAATCCAGCTGCAAAAACAGAGTTAAATCTATGTCAGTTTTTGAGATAGTGTAAATTAGCCTTTATACATGTAGTGTTTCATGTATGCTTTATTGGTATTATTATTGTTTTCACTCCCCTTTAGCAGTAATGAGCAGATACAATATTTATTTTTTTGGCTTGCCGTCCAGTATTAATAATATAAAAACCCTATATGGGGTTTGCGTAAGATCCCATTTGCCGCTTCATTATTCCGGGCAGCTGTGTGATATTTTCTGTCATATTAGCTGACATGTGGAAGACACTACACGACTGTAATGATGTATGTAAAACTTGCAGGTAACGCAATGCACAGAGTTAATGATAAATTGTTATACATGATACATTTTAAGCCATCCAGTGATGCTAAAGCAGAGTAGGTTTCTTTCTGCATATCTCGGGCTGTTTATCATGCACGTGCCAATGGATATACAAGGGACTATATATCATTAGATATATGTGTAATATTTTAATTTTGTTGCAAAAGCTTTTTTAACAACAAAAGAATACAATATTGAAAAAACGGTGTGCACTACATTCTGCTACAGATTAATGCAAATGTTGAGAATTTTAGTTCATCAGCTACTGTGGGTGCAACCTAGATGGGGTTGTTTGAATTTTGTGCAATATAATATATAATATTTGACTTTGCTTTGGATTGTCTTGTCTGTTGTCAACTGATGTTAACGATTACTGATGTTAACGATTACTAATGTTAACGTCAATAGTTGTTCTCAGAGCACAGACTTCATGCCTGTCATGAAAGAACAGCTTATTTGGTCGAAGAAAAACCGAAGAAATAAATATTGCGACCAGCCTTATTTGGAAATTTGTCCAACGTTTCATTGGCATGTTTGTTTCAATAAAGAAATGTGTTGCTATGTGAAAAGTGTTATCATTGTTTCAGTAAATGCGCCCACGGTCATTTAAAACCATAAAAGCGTACTGCGCCTCATTATAGCGCTTTATTGTCTAATAGAATGCAAAGTATGAAGGTTTGGTCTTCGCCATAAACTTACACCATCACAGTAAGACTGTGACAGTAAGACATTAACCAGACGTGTAAATGATTGAATGAATCGCAGAGCAGCTTCTTTGGGCAGGGACGTATTAAGCTAGACGCAGCAAAATACACCTCAGACTTCGATCAGAACTTGCTTGAGACAGCTGAAGTAGAGCTCTCCGGGTGTGAAGAGTCACAAGGTTTCATGTCAGTTTGGCAAAGAGTGGATGCACAGGTGAGTCTTCAGTTCATTTACTGTGTGCTTACTTTTAACCTTTTTTAACCCATCACTGGTGATGAGGTATGGGTAAATATATAAATACTTTTAGATGTGTGTCCATTAGATTGTCTTTCTTTTCCAAAAAAATAAACTTACACATTCAGATTGCATAGTGTTTAGGCTGGGCTCATCACCTATTATAACGTAGACCTTATGTTCATGTAATAGCTTCATTTTTATTGCCGTGAATGCTAATTTAAACCTATCTGTGAATCAAAAATAGTTCTTCCTTTTTAATTTATTTCTAACTGCAATGTGACAATCTGTACTCTCAGGGCAGCTTGTGATGGCAGCACCGCAAGGGCCATTTTTGGCCGCTGTGTTAGTCCTTGTGTCTTCGCTTCTCTGCTCCTCTTCCTCACCTGCATGTCTGCAGTCCTGCACCTGTCAGAGTGCTTTCCTGTTGAACTGTTCCTCAGCTGGCCTTTCCTCGGTGCCCCAGCACATCCAGGACTCTGTCACGGAGCTGGACTTTTCTCATAACCTCCTCAAATCTGTAACATTTCACCAGCCACATTATAACCTCAGGAGTGTGTGGCTGGGAAACAACAGTATCACACGTTTGTCCCTGTGCACTGGAAGAAACCTCGGTGGTCAACATCTTAGAGATAAATATCGCTCAAGACCTTGGACCAGACAGAAATGTGTATCTTGGGCCCCCACCCTGCAGCTGCTCTCTGTTGAGATGAATCAGCTACGCCAACTCCCAGAGGGTGAGTCAGTGTTATATGGTTATAAACTAATAAATAAAACACTGTCAAAGAACATAAACATACACATTTTCACACGGATAAAAACTGCTACCAGTCAGCACTAACTGAAAACCTGAAAAATGTAATTAATTTCATTTAAAAGTAATTTCACTGTCAGGTGAATCTGCTGGTGTTTTAAAAGATTTCAATATCACTTAGCATTATATATACAGTGCAGTGTTTCCTGGTGGTTCAACAATACTCATCTTCTATAGAAGAATTGTGTTTTCTGGTGAATTTTCATCAAACTTTCATCTCACCAAAGGGAAAATATTTAAACTGCTGTAATAAGAAAGAACTGGAAAAAAATTATAAAAAGTACAATTTAGCACGAATAGATCGTGCATAACATTAGCAGCAGTTTAAGTTTGCAGCTAATTTTTGCTGTAAAACTCAAGACAGCTTCTTAGTAAGGACAAAAAATATATACGTGTTTAGCATTGATTCGACAAGTATCTATTGGAAGGATGAAAAATCATTACTTTTAAATCCATCATATCATTTGGTGTCCAAATGATGATAGCAGCACATGCTTTCTAACACTGTTGCTCCAGAATTGTTTGGTGTTTAGTTTAGTTAACATCCATTTAATATTCATGTGTCATTTTGCGTCCATAATGCACATTTTTTGTTGATATTATCATCCTGAAAGAGATCACTCTCTTCAGAAAACCTTCCCAGTAGGGGGAATCAAACCATGTAAGCAAAATACGTCTCCCAGAGTAAGAAGCCACTTTTCGTTTTACAGTAGGATCAAAGGTTAAAGATTTTCCTTTAATGTGTCAACCATTTGTTTATAAAAATCCACTACAAGTGTAACATTTCCCACAAAAATGTAATGAAATCTAAGTATAAAGAGAAGAAGGTTGACTCAAGCAAAAGTAAAACTGCCTGAAAACTGTTCTTCATTACAGTGCTTTAGTAAATATACTCACTGTACTTTACAATTCTGTTGAACTTGCACATACTGCAGAATTTAATAATCCTACAAACTACAATCACAAAATCTTAGACATTAATATCAGCACAATTCTCAGCCAATATGAGTAGCAACCCATCCTAACATACTGGTCTTGCAAATTGCAGCGATATAACAATAATACATAGTATTCATAAACCACACCCAGTACATTTTGAGGTAGGTTACATGACTATGACTGACTGTTATCTTGGGTGGAACATAAACAGGTGGTAGAAAAACTGACATATTAAATTTAACCTTCAGTATGGAACTAGTCATGCAAGTCTCTTGTAAACATCAAAAAGTGTTTTGACTTCCAAATTACGAGACAATTTGTTCACACTAGTTAATTAGGCCATAACTTATTGTTATCATTAATATTAGGTAATAATATATAATGGTAAAGTTGCACACTCCTTAAAGGCACACCTTTAATTTCCTCATGGAATGTCATTGAGAAATGTCCATGAGTCACACTGGAAAGATTGGTCCACCTTGCCACCATGTTCAGGTGGGTTTACCTCAAAGTCCATAGTGTAATCTGTGAGATTTATGCATGTCAGTTACTGTTCTTTTCATATAAACAAACCACCCCACTGATATGCTTTATCTTTAGTACTTTGCTCCAGGCAGAAATAAACCACCGCATGTAGTTCCACTGTACAGCCTCCAACCAGTCACAGTTGTTAATCGACATTTCCCTAAAACGGTGGAAATAGAATACAACAGAACAGCCCTTTAGTGTCATTGTACATGTACAATGAAATTGTGGAATGTTGTGAATCACACAATGCCACTTTTCCTGGGCATTGTCATGTTTCTCCTCTTTCTCCTTGGTTGAACATGTGAGTGTTTCAAAGGAAACCATTCACTATAAGTCTTTTAAAGGAATGTATAGACCGCCTATTTACTTAGCAAGAGCTCTGTTGACAATCATAGACCCTGTTCTATTTGGTATTCAGATCACAAAACCTTCAGTGCCTCTCTAATGAAGCACAGATCCACAGTGCTTTTCCTCAGCAGAGCAGTCTCGGGGAGATTGTCTCTACTGAAAAGGAGGAGCCAGCAGAAAATGGCCATAAATAGACATATTGTAACACTATTCACTGTGAAAACAAAACAATTTGATTTTGTTTTTCATTGATGAGCTCCACACTGATTGAGGCTTATGTTTCATATTATATAATGTCAGCCGTGTTAATATGGCAGACCTGCAAGCGAGGATCCAGAGAGGACAAGAGCCAGACAAACTTGTATTATTACTGAAAACCTGGAATACAGAATACATGTCTTGCTCTCTATGGGAGCTACCCAGTAATCTCTAAATGCAACTCTGATTTTCTGTCATTCAGGGCTGGAGGGTATTGAATCCTTGGAGGTTCTGCAACTGTCTTTCAACAGGATCTCAACTCTACGACTGGGAGAACTTAGCCATCTTCAGCAACTGAAAGAGTTACACTTACAACATAACCTCATCACAAGTCTCCATCCACAGATGTTTCAGGATTTACCACAGCTCAAAGTAAGACTGTTGTTTTTGTTTGTTTGTTTTTTTGTTGTTTGTTTTTTGGGGCCTTTTTGTGTAAATACAGGTGATTGTTTTTCAGATATCTGTTCAAAAGCTAGAGTTAAAACCTTGATGCCTACTCTAATTAACTGATAATGTCAATATCTAAGATGCAATTTGTTTTGCCAGTCAAACTCATCATAAATATTATATTGCCCTCAAAGGTCCTAGATCTGAGCTTCAACATGTTGACCAGCATCCATCCTTTAATGTACCTCACCCTGCAAAACATTGGAACAGAAGTTAGGCTGCTTGGAAACAGGTGGCAGTGTGACTGCAGGATGCACAGTCTAAGACGGCGGATAGCCTTTGACAGCAGCAGAGGCCTGCAGGTCTGGAGCATCATGTGTGCTTCTCCATCCACCCTCTCAGGCAGAGATCTGCCTCAGCTGCAGGATGATGACCTGAACTGCCTCAGTACTGGTAACATCCCAGAGCTCCATCAGGATGTGACAGTTCACAGGGGCTCCGAGATACTGCTGTCCTGTTCAGCAGAAGGTAATACATCAAAATGATGGAAAAATGCTTAATGCATATTTAGCAATTTAAACTGATAATACTGCATATCAATGTGATCTTTTCCAGACTTAGTGTGGTGGACGCCCAATGGTCAAGCGTCTGTGAACCAGCCTGATGGTGGTCTGCTCATCAGTGACATCACAGAGAGTGACACGGGACTGTATGTGTGTGTGTCTAAAGAAAAACAGGTTGTGTCTGTTTTTAACCTCCAAATCAGTAAAATAGGTGCTGCAAGAAGAAAACCTAGAAGTTTGTCTGAAACCAGCCAATACATAATCCAAGCAGGCCCCACAAAGAGTGTACGTAATGGGACAAGTCAAGGAGCTGGAGCAGTTACTCAGTCTGACTTGGCACTGGCTGTGTGTCTATCTATTTTCATCACATTTCTAATTGCCTTTATCCTTGGAGTCCTTGCAAGACCGTGTATTGATGTTCTTTGGAAAAGAGTCACCGAAAAGAACATCAATACACGGTCCCGTGAAACTAACTCTGCAGTCTCTGTGGAACAAACACAATATGACAATGAGGCCTTTTCCACTGGAGAGGAACTAGAAAGGACAGGACATCACAGGGAAAGGAGAGTTACATTTACCACTGTAAACTACAGAGAAGATGGCAACGTACAGTATTATGATACTGTAGCCAGTGGCAATCCAGAAAGCATCAATAATGATGTAGTGATTGATTGTGAAGTTAGTGAGGCTCAGAATATTAAACATACTCCTGAAGATTCAGGAAATGAAAGTAGCTCACATCAGAGCCATTCAGAGGGTAGACTAAATGATGGCAGAGATCACACTACTGCTGGACATAGGCACAACATGGAGTTTGAACCCATCCCAGATCCTATTGAGCTAGAGGAAAAGAGAAGCCTATCTTCTTCAAGCTCAGATTCTTCACTATCTGAAAAAGAATTCAAAGAGCACCACACAATGACCAAGGCTCCTAAGGTGACAAAGGACCCTTTTCAACAGAAAACTGATTTCTCAATACTTACAAAAGAAGAGGTGCCACTAAGATCACTAGAAGGCAAAAGTAAAATGCCTGGATTTACCTCTGAGCCATGGTCACCACACACAACAGACCCTGGTTATTTAGAGGAGAATGAAGAACTATTTGAATTTAGTGATTCTGTTTCTCCTGAGCGTCCCAGGAGTATCAAGAAAGATTCAGATATCAAAGAACCTTCATCAGCCTCTAGTTCATCTTCTAGTAGTGAAAGTGATGATGAA